TATGACATGACAATGTCATAAACAGCTTCTTTCAATGCATATAATATTGTAAATGAATCTCTACATAGGGAAAGATTCTCGCTTGATTACGCTAGCATATTATGCTTGTTAAGTTCAATATCTACACACATCATCAACGTCACTTTTTGACGTGATTGCCTTCCAACACATGACTACAACTCGACATCAAAGGTGCATTTCTAATCTCTTTTGGTAATCAATTGAACAATAATGTCCCACCACATACCTGAAATAACGGGATTTTCGGATGTCGAATGTTCATAATAAAAAAAATTTCTCAGTTACACTTCGGTTGAAAAAGCGTCATGTTCGCAGTCGCACCGCCTGGACATACCATCGCTTACAAAATCATTACTAATTTATTGAAAATTAAAACTTATGATCTGCAGTGAAATGATATAGATAGGAAAGATGATGCTCACCAAATATTTTAAAATTTATTGATGTACCTAAGGCGGTTTTAATTTTATCGCGCTAGTCCACAAACTTTTTTGATAACCCCTCGTATGTGATCACCTTAACTTTTTTTTTTCAAATAAGATGCAGGCCTCAAAATCAGAATTACCATGTAGATTTAATTCTATGACAATAAAGAACAGGAATCAGACTGACAATGTTCATTGAAAATGCACATCGAGTGCAAAGCAAGCTAGCAAAAATTATCAGAGATGGGTTCATATGAAAGCACGGGTCTTTAAAATAAGACTTTAAAAACTAAGGTTAAATGTGAAAATAGGCCTTGAGACGATTAACAGCCTTCAATGGCCCTGATTGTCGAGTATAACCTTGATTGTCTTATTGTGACGTCTCTAAATGATAGGAATGTTCACCATTGACCTACCTATTTTCCAGGCAGTTGATTTACCGTGTTCCTTTTTTTTATTTTTAAAGGCAAGCCTTTTATAATTAGCATTTATATTACATGTTTAATGCCTGATGATACAGTACTTTAAATCTCTATGCTGTAAGGTAACCATAAAAAGCACATTTAAATGCCATTAACAGATTGAGGGCGTAAAATGAAAATCAACTTGTATGCATCCGTTTCAGTGGTTCAAAAGTGAAAAAACTAGATCACACGATCAGTTGGAGGAATCCCTACTGACAAAGCAGGTAATAGAACAACATTGTCTTTGTTTGTAAGGTTCATATTTTAATTGCAGAGGAACTGGGACTTAATGGTATTAATGGTAATCCAACTTATTCCTTTAGCTCCAATATCAGATGTGGATATTTAAAAATCCCAAGGAACTTTAAGATAATTTGAAATCACAGAAGTTTTCAAAAATCATGGTCAAAAACATCAAAAAAAAAAAACATTAAATTGTGGCTTTTCAACTTTATTTACAACCATGCGTCACAATCAATGAAAATCCATGTTCTTTAATATTATTGACAGCCGCCTTTTGAAAAATGGAACTTGTAAATTTACTTAACTTGTCATTGGTTATTTTCAAAATAAGTTTGTTAAAAAAAACATTCCGATTGTATACACAGAAGTACTTCGGATTTGATATAGAAAATGATGCTTGAGTTTCTGATTGACAATCATTGTGGTTTTTTGGAGACCATGGGTACAAACTGTTATTGGCAGAGTTATTTTTGTATTCATATGTACAGTGTATCATAATTTGTCTAAAATCTTATACATAAAAAGAAGAAAATACTTGTGGTGCCCTTCATCTCGACATTTAGATATATCGACGACCTATTGTTAATATACAATGGGTATTTCAATTCTTATGTTGATATACGATATATCCCGGTGAACTTAACATTAAAGATACCACAGAATCTTACAAATCTGTTTCATATTTGGAAATTTTACTTGAAAAGGTGTCCATTTTAAACCAACAAGCAAGCTTTATTATAAATGTGATGACTTTATAAACTCTTCAATCGTCAACTTTCTTACTTATGCAGCAATAACTTTCACCACCTGTCCATGTATATGGAGTTTATATCTCACAGTTGACCGCTACGCAAGAGAATGCTATACGTATAAAAATTTCTAAGCAAGGTAGGCTATTGACAAGCAAGTTAATGAAACAAGAATATCAGCGGTCTCCTTTTTTTATTTTAGTTTTTTGAAAAAATCACTTCCAGTTGCATATTTTGTTCGATTTTCTGTTTTAAAATTATCATTTTGTCCACGGATTTTCTTGCAAACCACTCAAGATTAAATCACGGTGTTTTCGGGGATGATAAAACATCTCCTTGAGTTATGTATTACGTCTTTTGATTTTGCATCTGTCACTTCCACTCGACACAGGAAGTGATGTTTTATTTCAAGATTTAAGAAAAAATTAACGGTTTTGAAGAAAGGCAAATAGAACTAACGTTTACATTTACAATTGTCAACAAAAAGCATCCATTTGAAATACATCCGGTGTTAACCGGACGTAATCGAAAAATTAAACTTTCTCTCTTGAATAAAAAAAAATAGAATAAAATGGTTTAATATGAGCTTTTCAAAGATTTTCTGGCCTTGTAACTTCAATGTCAGCCATAAATGAAACCTGAATTGTCGAAAGTCGTCAAATTACGCCACTTTCGGTACAAACTGGAAGTAGTAAGGAAATGCTTATTTTTACAATTTTTGACATGCTTTTGATTAATTTATGGCACTAGAAGCATCAAACCAAATTTTTTATCTCTCGACATCACTTCCGGTCAATCCCGATGTAGCAAAAAATAGATTATATTGCAGGTTTTGACGCAAAATTGAAATTATAAAGACACTGGAGACTTCTAAACTCTTTGCTTTCTTTTGTTGACGTCACTTCCGGTCAAAATAAGACGGAATACCTACTCGTAGCTTTGCAACGAGCCTTGCTCTAATTTTTTTTTTATTTTTATTTTTTTTACATTTTATTTTGTAGACATCAAAAATACAAGTTATGCATGTATGAAATTTTTAGGAGATCTAGAAATTATAGATTTCTCCCAAAGAGTTTATGATACATAATAAAGTAAAACTCGGTTAAAACAAAGTCGCTAGGACCAATGATAACACTTCGCTATATCCGTAATTTGTTATATCCTTAAAAAAAATTGTTAGTTTTATATAGCTGGGGATCCAAAACAACTTCGCTATATCCGTGAATTCGCTATATGCGTGTTTGTACTACACGAGTTTTAATGTATCAAATCAATGATTATTGCAGCCCGGAGGACTGGGCTGCTCTATACATATAAGTTTAAGTGTTGGTGTATGGGGATTGAGATGGGAGAAGTTATTTCGAGTTAAAGGTTTTCTAAACATTAAAAAAATTATAGATCAGAATGTTCTTTCCCTTTATAAATATCGAGATACACAATACGAGGGGTGTTAGAAAAGTTCGCGGACAAGTTCTATTTTGAACGCACTATTTCCACGAAACCGGTCAAACTTTCCAGATAAAATCTTTATCTTTTTTCCAATAAATATACAAGAATTTGGTGCTCCCCGATGATTATTGAAAAATATACATCTTTTTTATTTTGATAAAACTTGCTTCACGGAGCATGCTACATTTTGCCAAGTTTACATCACAAAGACTCTTTATTAAAATTAAAAATTGCACAGTTGTACGGCAAAGAGTTTTATGATATTTTACCTGCCGCTGAAGTATTCATGAAACGTCACTGGGAGAAATTTTGAACTAAACTGGAGGGTATATGACTGTTTTATAGCCGTTTATAACTGATCAACGCTTAAAAACACAGCCAAAAATGGGAACGTCATTGAGCGTCATGGAGCACTGCACTACGTAAAAATTATGTATGCAGACTGGAAAATGTCTAAAAAGAGATTAAAATGTTCAAGATGCTGCCGGGAATTTCCAACACCTACAAAAGACAAGTTTTCAAATGGTTGTAGCTTCATATGAATGGAAGGATTAACACTTTTGGATGATTAACTCCATCGATACTTCAATATCCCCGTATCGCATGGATGTTGCGTTGCGCCTATATGGTTAAATTGCATAGTTTCCACACCTGATCATATCCGAATAAGTACAAAAGACATTATATAGAAGAAAAGTAACATGTCTTGAAATAGATGTTCAATTTTAAAGTAGAAAAAAGATAAGAAAAATCTGAAGAAATGAAAGATTTATAGAACTGCGACAAAGCTTAACCGGTTGAAATCTGGTTGTCACGTCACCTTACGTCAAGTGATTGCTCCGTGAATCCCATGACCTCAAAGTAAAAATCGTTGTAAATTTTCAAGATTTTATTATATGGACCTGATCTTTTACATACCAATAAACAAAATGTAGGAATTTATTCAGACATAGGTTATACTTCACAGTACACAATAGATTTTCCGTAATTCAATGTGTCCGCGAACTTTTCTAACGACCCTCGTATATTTACTTCCATAAAGTGAATATTTAAAAAATATATGTTTTTCATATTTAATATAAAAGGTTGCTTATCATTTACTATCGAAACAACGACAGGTCCCCTTTTTTTAAAACATCGAATTTAACTTGTCGCATAAAAACGTACATTACACAGTTCGTGTTTTATATTCTTAAAGTGAAGTACATTTTTGAATTTTTAAATGTAGTTGATGCGAGCATATGTCTGATTTAAATTTGTATCTTATGCAGCCAACATTTAAGTCTACTTGCGGAATTGATAAAGTTTGAAAAGTGTATCGTTTTTCTTAGATTTTCAGCCGACTATAAGTTTTCAAAATATTCTCGACTATCGTCTCCATCATTTAGACGCATTTATATATTTCCCGGACGACAATTGATGGTTACATCAATGTTTTATTGTTTCTTCATAATTTTTTTAAATGTAATATAACTATTATGTAATAGAAAACACAATAAAACTTGTAAATGTTCAAGTTTGTCCATTTCAATAAAATCATAAATTTACAAATACATATTGCAAGAAATGAAATTTGTTTAGTCTATGGACGATCTAATCCAAAATGAAAATAAAATGATAACCACAGCAGAAATCTTTAGTATAGATAAAAAAAATAGAACAATCAGATCCCTGAGTTGCTAATAGTCTCAATCGGTGGAGTTGTCCAGTGCATTTTTATCGTGGAGTTTTTCGTGATCATCTCCCATCTTTTTCACCCTAAAGGAGCCAGTAGGTATACTTTTGGAGCTTTTAATTGAGCCTGCAGCGCCGCTGCGCATACTGCGACCACTTTTGATCGACATCTGGGTTTTTCTTTTAAAGGCATTTATTTCTTTCCTCTTCTTTCTCTCGAAAAATCCACACTATATTTAAAGGAAAACAATCAATGGGAATGTTTATTGTAATAATGTTTAATCATAAAATTTTAAAGGGGCCTATTTTCGTAGATTGCTAAATTTTTCAAGTAGAGGGAACGTAATTTTATGCATTTTAATACATGTACTTAAACCTATGTAAGAAGAGATAAATCTGAAACCCTCAACTATCAAATCCGTTGAATAATATGCACGGAACAACATAAATCACGAATAATGAGCCAGTCACCACCACGAAGGCTAATGATACTACAGTATGATTTTTTTATTATTATTTTGTGCAGGAACATGTGAAAGTAATGTTACCTATTGAATATTATAAGAAAATGCTCCTATAAAATATGTTGACACATTCTCAAAACCGACACCTTCCTTACCTTCCATAAGACAATCCCGAGAATGATAAACAACAGTATACTGAACAGAACAGCCACTATAATTATCCAAAGGTCGATTTCTTCTGCCGGCTGATTGAAGGACTCTGACAGCAGAATATTCACCGAAACCTATTAAAAAGGAATAAAAGTGTATTGTTATACACATTACGTTAGGGGGTACTTTCGCCTCCTTGGCACCTGATCCTACCTTTGAAAATTCAGAGGTCCGTGTAAATGTCCTTTTCACAAAATGTATTGTTTAAAGTTTTTTTGAGAACTTTTTGTTATTTCCAACCTTTTCGTTATTTATACCAAAGTAAAAGGTCTGTGTCATTGTGATTAGGCAATTCATACTGGTCAACATTTACACCCGAAAATAGTCTATATCACGAACAATCAATCAGGTATAAGGAGAAACTACTGGTCATAAAATTTACTGTTAAGAGGTGTGTACTTTTAACCTTGTGTGCAGTAGTCAACAGAAGTTGAGAGGTAATGCAAAAGGGTACTGGATATAATTATAATATTTTCTTTAAAGTGAATCTTTACTTTACCTCGCCTGTAGCATTCTTTACAAATTCCAGTGGAATTCGTGTTCCAGGAGCCGGGAAAACATTTGTTTGCACAACGAATGTCAAAAAGGCTTTCCCCTTAAATGATAAAATTGTGAATAATAATGTTGATTAAAAATTTCACAACAATACTGATGATATCAAAATATATAACTAAATCTATTGAAAAGGAAAGAACTAAAATTGAAATAGTTTACTGCAAATGCAAAAGAATTTTGTAAGGACGAGAACGTGATTGAATTCCCTTGCTTATTACATTTTTGGGGTTCTAGACAAACTTTAAATACCATAGGGATTTTCTCTCATTGACATATGCAAAAATACCGCGGATGGGACGTTAAGCAAGCACGCAAATACCGGCATTCCCCTGATTGAGTTTTATTTTACCTTTTGTAAAGGTGGAAGCAATGAAGTCTGCAAATGAAAAGCCATTGTAAAGGATCTGCTGTCCGTTTCTGAAGGCTTTACATTGGAAACCATGCACTCAACAACAGCGCAGTCGTAACCATTATCCAAAGAATCGCAGAACTACAAGGTTTAATGATTGTTGTATACAATGGGAAACTATGACATCTGTTAAATGAATGCAGTTTTTATCTTTTTTTTCACTTTAGTTACAAATCTAAGAAATCTGAATATTTTACAAATTAATTTCGTACAATTATATGAGGTACATATTGATGTACACTTGATAATGTTAAGTTTGTCAGACAGGTGAAAGAGGAATAACCTTTTCAAAAGAGAGATAACTCTGGCATCGATCGATTCTTTTTTATTCCTCTTTAAACATTTTCTTTTCTCTACTTTTATTCTCTGATTTTAGAAAAAACTTCCCTACTCTCTGCTAGAAAATTGTCAATATAACAGATAAAAATGTATATGCTAAACGAAAGATAATCCTCCTTTAAAATTAACTAAATGTTGTAGAAATACCATAGTCTGTGATGTTTCAGATCGTTCTGTAAATGGTTGCAATTTTAAATCGCTCCTTAATTCGCTGATCGTCCTCAATTCTCTAGATTCTGATGTTAATGACTGCTTTTTAACAGACGACTTGAGTTGTTCTGGATGATACTTTAAAATACAGGTATCGCCCGCAGTTGTTACTGTTGGCTTCAAATAGAAAACGACAAGGGTGCTTGTGTGAATTAAGTACAAAGACAAAATACACTTCAAACGTTTTCCATTCTTATCATCTCAAACTGTTTTATTATGTTAATTTATTATGAAGCATGTATCAATAATAAGTTAATATAGGTATATACCAGTGCATTTTCTCGATCTATCATTACTTTCTCTTCGTATTGAACCGGGAAAGATAAATAAATTAAAGCTTTTTCAATTGGAGATGGTCCATCGTTGTATAAGGTATAAGTATTGGTGAATTGTACACTGTTGTTTGTTGCCAGAATCTGTTCATCTGAGGAGGATCTAAATCAAAAAGACCAAAAAAATGAAAAAATATAATATTAATTAAATATTATTGGGTTTAAAGTTTAGAAATATCATGTACTTTGTAAATAAATCATTTTATAAGCATTTCAACTAATAAAAAATAAGCAAACGGTTCCTGAACATAAAAAAAAATATTTTTCAAAAGACGTGAATTAAGCTTTAGAGTTTATAATGCTAAAGAATAACAATATAATTTTCTATTAATATTTATCTACATTTTATATACATTGTGTGAGTCCTATGGCCATCTTACACTTTGAGTGAAACATCCGTCAGCAAACTAAGTTGTAAAATGTCTATATCTTCATTATCCTTCATATCAGTGTCGTGATTGGTCGAGGCTGAGGTGATGAAATTCAAAATCGGGGAGGTTATTAAATCCGGATTAGCTATCATATTTCTGGCTAAGTAGAAATATACAGTGATATTCACTAGCATATGTGGATAAAACGGATCGTCCAGGTCACACAAAAATTCCGATATATCAGTAGAGGCTGATTTTGTTTTACATGTTATTTGCTCAGAAAGGCTCTCCATTTTGAAACCAGAATATTCAAAAATTGTCGGGTATTGTATTCTCAACGAAGATCTGAACGAAGGTTCCCCAGAGTTTTTAATCACAATGTTCAAACTTATATCTGTATCACTTCCAACCTTGAAGCTTGTCTTGTCAAGATTTGAGACGATATTTAGGTTGGAGTAACAAGTGGTCATATTTCTACATCCAGTATCGAATGAAACCTGAAATCAATCGCCAATTATTAGAATATGATAGTTTTCAGAAGACAAAAAATGAATCTTCTTGAAGTAGTAACTTTAAATCAATGAAATCAGCAAGTTAAATCTTATATCACAGAATACTTAGGCCTGATTCCTGTCTACATATTTTTACATTATCCAACAGAAAAACGACAGCTTACAAGGAAAAAGATGAAATTGGGATTAATCTGACAGGACCTTACATATAAGTTATTAACAGTTTTAAATTTTGCTAATTCCCTCTTATGGATAAATTATATAGATCTAATTATTTTGAATAGAAAAGTCCATGATTAACAATTTATTTATTTTTCTTTTAAATAGATTTGATCCTCTTATCAATAAACTTGAGTATGCACTACAAAAAGATGCTGTGTTGTGTTGAATTCGTAAAACATGTATTTCGACAACAGACTTGTCGAAGCACTCATTCATACCTGACTTTTAACTTTATTTGACGCATTCCGTTTCATAATTGCCCGGACATTGGACGGAATGAATTGAGTACTTAATCTGTAAGCAACTTCTAAAACAACTGGTTTTTCGATAGTCGCAAAGAACTGTCGGTCAACTATCTGAAATAATCATCATTGGATAAGTAAATGCAACGTAATCTGTAGAGATTGTGTAAATACATAATTGTAATATTAGCCAAAATGTAAGCTAGAAATATTGCTCACATGAGCGCCCATTTTTTTTAAGTAAACAAATGTCATAGTAACCTTGGCTCTGTATATGCATGTATATAGGGAGATGACAAACAAGAAAGGCATTATCACTAATCAAGTTATTCAAATAAATAAAAAAAACAAGAGGCCTATGGGCCACATCGCTCACCCGAGCAATGTGGCTAGGAAAAAAGCAGAAATCAGTTTATTATTGAAAAGTTCTAACCCAATACATCTGTAGTGCTCCCAACCAATCCCTAAAAGAGAGAAGGTATGATTTGAACAAACCTGAATCTTCACAGACTAAGGTTGCTTGCATATTTCTTTAACTACCAGTGGCTTTATTACTCTTTACATTTGAACTTACATTGTGGCCCCGTCCTATGCCCCAAGGGGTCATGATTTGAACCAAATTGAATCTACACTACCTGAGAATGCTTCCATATGAACAGGACTAATTATGGCTTTGCTATTCTTCAAAAGAAGAATTTTAAAGATTTTTCTACATGTTTCTATGTAAAATTTGGATTCCATGCTGTGACCCCGCCCTACCCCTAGGGGTCATAATTTGAACAAAATTGAATGTCCACTACCAGAGGATGCTTCCATATAAATATGATCATTCATGCCTCTGCTATTCTTGAGAAAAAGATTTTTAAAGAATTTTCCCATTTATTTCTATGTAAACCTTTGATCGACCATTGTGGTCCCGCCCTACCCCCGGGGGTCATGATTTGAACAAACTTGAATCTACACTACCTGAACATGCTTCCCTATAAGTTTCATTTTTCCTGGCACAGTGGTTCTTTAGAAGAATATTTTTAAAACATACCATCAAATTTTTGATTATTTCTTAATTATCTCCCCTTGAATAAGGGTGTGGCCCTTCATTTGTACAAACTTGAATTCCCTTTACCTAAGGATACTTTGTGCCAAGTTTGGTTGAAATTGGCCCAGTGGTTCTTGAGAAGAAGTCGAAAATGTGAAAAGTTTACAACCGACGACGACAACGACGACGACGAGAGACAACGGACAAATTTTGATCAGAAAAGCTCACTTGAGCCTTCGGCTCAGGTGAGCTAAAATATTGGAAGAATATAAAAAATAGCAGACGTACTTCATTTCGGAGTGTGAAGTTCAGACAAACATTCTTGTAAGAGAAGATTTCTATTAAAGATATATTGATTTTATTCTGCTGGGTGTCCACGTCAAACAGAACTCTTGGTCTTCTACTGTCTTCATCTGCCGTTATATTTAAGTCAATGTCTAAAATAAATAAAAGACAAAATTTCCCTGAAAAAGTGCTAAAATTTATTGGAATATTAGTTGATAAAATATGCAAAAAAAAGAAACTACATGAAAACAGTGAACACCAAATTACTGTCATTTGAAGCGTATAATGAATAATCGGATAAAACTGAAATCCAACATGTTTGTTCATTGTTCTATACAATAGTAAAGATATACATGCTTTTACTGTTTACATATCTCATATGAACTTTTAGATATATGTCTACAGAGTGGCCTTACATGTGTTGCTGATGCCTTCGCCAGTGAAGTTAAAACAGACATTAAAGTTGAAGCAAGGGTTGGTGGATCCAGGTATTTGACAGATTGTTCCTTCAGAACTAATTGGAACAGGATTTTCATTGAAGCTGATGGTAGATTGCACTTCTATGATAGGTCTTGCTCTTAGAAGAACCACGTTATCTGATTTGTATGCCCCGACTGCAAAATCTGATAAAGGAAAATACATCTTTACAATGAAACATATCTAATGCGATATGCTCTAGGTGACGAATTTTGTGTCAGAATAGTCAGGGTGTCGGATTTAACAGTGTAAAAATTATGAAAAAAAAAGTTTATATGGGAAAGCAATTCAATGTCGGGTATTACAGTGTGATGGATTGCACAGGTGCCTGCTTTGACAGTTTTCACTGTATTATCAATGAATATAACTCCATATACAGCTGTACCTAATAGACGGCAAATAATACACGAGAAAGATCTGCTGTTACATTCTAAATCCATGTAATTGTATACAACTTAAAATTTTATTTAAAATTTAAACATTTCTCTAAAAAATTACTGTGACAATGTGATAAAATATTGCATATTCAGTTATGTATCTTTCCTCACCGTTATATTCATTTTCATCTAGATCTTTAGCACTTTTGGATATATAATAACCAAACCCATTTAATCCCATTTTAATATCTTTGCCAAGAATTCTTTGCGAAAATGAGTCTTCAAGTCTAGGTTTATTTCCATTGAAAATGTAGACGGCTCCAATTCCATCTTCATATGGGGCACCAACAACAATGTCTACAAAATTGAAGTGTATATTAAATTCGGTAAATACAAAAATTTGAATGTACTAATTTTCTCAGATAATGTAAAAAAAAATCTTCTTTTTTTGTTCATTTCATTTATTCCTCAAACAATATTATAAATTAAACAAGAGCTGCGTAATCAAAACATATAAAAACAGATAGGCTAAATAATATTTGGAATGAGGAGAAAATACATTGTCATTAATTTGGATGATTTAAATACATCTATTTTTCCTAAGAATTAGGAATCAGTATTTGCCATAAAATTGCATTTTAATCATTTTAATAAACATCATTTTTGTAACAAAAATATTTTAAGAATTTTAAACAACATAACAACAGTTAAAAAATTTCAAACGTATAGTACGTTTAAAGTTTTAAATGTCAAATATGTGGACAAATACTTCACTATATTCATATTTCAACCACAATTACAAAAAAAAAATCAAATATACTGAGATTTATTTCAAATATATAGAAAAAATTTCACTTCTTTCATATCAAGAATTGTATTGTAGTAGAGTGTAAAATGTTTCCCAAAGATGTCATTAAAACAATAACATTGAATTTGAATCAAAACTTAAAGCATACCATTCAAACCATCTTTGTTGAGATCTCCCACTGCAGATACAGCTGTACCGAATCTCGATCCCTGAATTTCTGATCCGTATATAGTGTGAGGATCTTGTTCAACATAGGTCTGGCAAAGTATATGATAAAAGATTTTAAAACTTAAACCAATATAATATTTTTAGAATTATCACGAAATGAAAACAGTTTTAAATTAGTCCTTTTCATTTTAATACAAAGTTGCCAAATAATTGGTAGAAGGATATGAAGATTACGAACAGTATTCAATGTCAAAGTCCATTAAACAAATTGCAAAATAGTTCATGATAACCAATCGAGATGAGAATATTTAGTGCATTATTAAAGTTAAGTATAATAAATGTACTTTGTATGATTGCTACTCATAATTGTGCTGAGTTTATAAACGACTTGGGAAAGCAAAAATGCATTTACAGCTATAGATCCGGTTCCATAAAAGACGTGAACGGCGCCGACATCGTATACCACTTTGTTTCTAGACGTTCTATTTAGATAGGAATTAGGTGCCCCGACCAGGATATCGTCATTCCCGTCACCATTTAAGTCAGCTATAGCTAATGTCTGGCCAAAGCCGCCCCCGGTCTTCAAAGAAAGAGCGATATGCAAAATTCAGCAGATCATCTAATCTTTTTTAAGAAATACAGAAATTCCTTGATAAATTATGGTTTTAGGCATTTATAATTTATCTCCCCAATTAGGAATCCAAATTACGAAAGTTTGGAACCATATTGTTTTCCTATTATAAAAACTTGGGAATAAAAAAGTAAATATTTATAATCAATATGAATAAGAGATTCAACCTATTTTGGAATATTAAAAGCAACTATGATCCACTAATTCCGAACTCAACAGGTTTGTATGCTTGCGGTTGGTATGATACATTATCAAGAGAGGATTTGTGCGATATTATTATAAAGAATATTCAATTATAATTCGATAATTAAACCCATTACCTGCAGGCCCTCTATTAATTTCACTTGTCTCTCTGATGCTCCATTGAATTCCATGATTGAAAACTAACGAAAGATCATGTGAAAAACATTTTAAGGAAAAATGCGTATTTAAAGACTATAAGCTGGTGAATATTTAAGAAGAAAAAATGATACGTATTTAAAGTTAATAATTTGGTAAATATAAAACAAGTTTGTTATAATTTTACCGAGCCGATGACTCCATTTTGGTTACTGAAACCAGGTGCTCCTACAACGTAATAATACCCGGACTCTCCAAAATTGCCAGAGGCTAAACTATACCCTGTAATTAGAAAGAACAAACAGCAATAAGATCTTATTAGCATTATATCTCGAATACAGTCAGAACTTTTTAGGAGGATAGCTGCAAAATCCAGTCAGAGAAATTGCAAATTTGTTAAAATACAAGAATTTGACTCACATGTAAATGGGGTTTTAAATATGCCAGAATGAAAGAAGATCGTAAATCTCTGGCCGTTGGGTTGCGACGATTGAGATAAATGTGCAGACAAAATTGTGTGTGAAACATTTCTCTTACCAAAATATGATCCTGATTGGTAAGTTGTAAGTAGATCAGACCTCTCTATGATAAAAGGGTGGGTTTTCCTGCTAGGATTTACTTGAGCAAATGTGCCACCTACAAGCAAACATATCAATCAATTACTATGTCTTAATGAATGATCACAAAAAGTATAATATTTAAGTATTTAAGTGAATTTTTAACAAACAATTTGGAATTCGCAAAAGGTGTTTTTTAAAACAAAATCATCATTTGTGAATCAGTTAGTATAAAAAGTCATTTCTCATATATCACATCAATTATCAAAATTAAAAGAATGTGAAATAATTTTACATTAAATATTGTTTCTATACCATAAACAAAAATAACAGTAAGTCAAGTGTTACGCAATTTAATCTATTTAATGATACTAGAAAAGATAAACATTGGGAACTTATAATGATATTAAAGCCAGAATGAAAATACATGTAGGTAGCCATTAAATCGGAATGTATACTTCGTGTAATGTTTTGAAGAAATACATCTAGAAAAAATGTTTTCCAGAGGAAAAGAAAAGTGTAATACCTGTGGACCCCAGACCTGCATTTGGTGTACCAAATATTACATCAAAACTTGGATGCTAAAAAACGATATACCGTATTATAATTATTACATGTGTTATTCTTTCACGCTCAGGAAAATAGCTTTTATGAAATACATGTACATGTATCATATAGTTTATTTATTCCATTACAGAAACTTTTATTCATAAAAAAAAATATTTATGAGTATTTTTTCTCTTTGAAATTGTTCAATTGAAACCCTTATTCACAATAAGCAAAAAAAAAAAAAAAAAAAAAAAAACGTGTTCGTAAAATAATAATGATCCATAATTTACAAGACAAAAATCATTCAAACGAAAAGGTAAAATAAACAAAGTGAATTTACTTTTAAACAATGTTTATTTTACAATGTAAAAATATTTTACTTAATAAAAGCAGAATACCGGAGAATCTGTGATGGAAAATCCAACTTCCGGATTAATGTAAACATCAGAGATCATTGTCTGATTCATACGAAACATATTCAGTGTGGATTGATTAAGATCATTCCTATTCCAAAGCTGGAAGCAGTTACCGGATACTAAATACGAATCGGTATTTGTGTCTAATTGGTTGAATAACCTTAGGTTTTTCCATGTTGGCGCACATATCTGTCAAAAATGCACGTAAAAACTATAAATTCATATATTATATAACTTAAAGGTAGATACTTTTGTTAAATTGTAAAATTCACCAATAATACGTGGGCCATTCTAAAAGTACGTAGACAATATTTTTCCTCCTTATACATGTATTATTTTTACAAGATTAAAGATGAAAACATTTTTATATAAACAAACATTTATTTTGTCGATATGTGAAGTTTCATTTTATTTAATTCCATTAACTTGTGTTAGCCAAATTCAAAAGCAACATGCGTTGTCTCCACGGAGCACAGGTAACAACATTTTAACGTCAAAAAAAAAAAAAAAAGAATATCGAGAAAGTTTCTCAAAACGATTTTTCTTTTCAATATATACATGGTTTGCAGCGTCTTACCCATTTATAAAATCGTATCAATAAAAAATTGACATCTAGTTTGCTAATTATTGTTAGTGTGTCTTAAGCTAAATTTTCAATGTTTTCAATTTTTTTACCCCGTGTCTCTGCTTTCGCTAGTTCGGCAACGTGACGCGCACATAATGTTTCATGACGTTACGAAATCCTTGGACAAGATTTTAAACTATATAATCTGTTTCTTCGCAGACGGTCAATCGTCCGATTCAAAATCTCTTCCCCTCAAAAATTGTTTTATATAATATATACATATGCATGGATGCTTTTTTATCTTTAGAGGTTTCCCGCACGCAAGACAAAATTTTATTGCTACTCGCTGCACCGTGACGTCCTTTGACGTCATTGTGTTTTGCTCTATTTAATCAATTTAATGTATTTAATCCGTCTTTAGAAACTGATATCATTTAAACGAAGCGATGTATTACATTACCTTTTAGCATCTGATTCAATAGAACATAACTAAATTTGAAGATTTGAATTTTATTTAATTTAAGCACCAACTATGTAATCATGGATATAAACATTATAAAGTTTATAAATACAGTCTAGTAAATAATTCAATTTTAACCCTGCTCCGTGACCCCATTTTTGCTATCTTAAATCTTTGATAATTTTCATAAATATCAAGATATATTCCTATTTTTCTCTCAAATTATTCAAATCTGTGGTTTAAATATGTGTGCCAAATTTGGTTGCAATATGACGTTAAATAAAAAAGTTATGACAAAATCTACGAACTTTTTGAATGACCCTTGTATATTGCTTTTATAATTTAGTTAACAATTTTAAGATGTTTATGCATTTAAACGCTAAAAGTAATGAAATTTAACAACAAAGTATTTGTAATAAAATGAATATGCATCAATAATTGAAAAAAGTAACAAATAAATAAAAAAAATATGTGATATTTTCAGAACGTACTAATATAGATTTACTTGGATCCTTGGGAATATGTATACTGGCTCCTAAAAGTTGTTCCCTTTGTTCAAATACATTATCAGGTTTGCTTAATCCAGTAGACTCTGTATATATATCGATTAACTTTATTATCATTTTGATTTCTAAATACATTGAAAAAAAAAATCCTACCAAAGTTTGACTAATCTGTGTTTTCATATATACTCAATGGAAAGAGAAATAAAATCGGATTATTTAATTCATTTCAAATGTGCAATATCTGAAGGTTTATAATATGATTTTTTTTTTAATAAATTTTTGTTTGCTAATTGGGTACATATTTAAAATTTTATCTTTGAAAGTCAACATTTTGCTTCTGATTTATATGCTGCCGTACATGTACATCTGTGTATTATTTGTTATGTTATTTCTTGCATTAAATTTAAATAAAACAGTGGAATTTTGTATACAACTTTACTTGAATAACAATTACATTGTATGAAAAAGAATATTTTGTTAATAAGATATGGTTTTTCCTGATTCTCCATCATACGGTTAATTACATAGTACAAATTGTCATCTCAATAATTGAGTTTTAACTTTTTTGTCGGGAAAAGGAGTCTTTATAATTGTGTTTTTTATTAATTTGCAATCCAATTTAAATGGATTTTTTTTTAAAAAAAAAACATAACTTTACATAAAACCCTCTACATCTTATACACTGGCAAATAATTAAACTCATATCTTAAACAATTCTAAATTAAGAGTCCCTGAATATGTTACCTTTGATTAAATATTTACTTCGAAAAAATTTAGATATGACTCAAAAGCCAACCTACCTGTAGATCTTAAACTGCTCAAGACTAAACAATCTGCATCTTCTTTAAAATTTACAGGGCATGCGTACACATTTCCTGGATTTGGTATTTCCGGTCTGTCGGTGAAATTATCACGAACGGCACCCACAAGTATCCTGTAAATAAATTGTATAAAATTCTTAATTAATAAAGACTATAAAAATGTTTTATATATATACATCTTAAAAAATAATCTAAATGTAACGATGTTATTGCTAATAAAAAAAATCAAACATTTATTTTTCGATGACTTAAGAGTCCTTGGAGAACAATTATATTTCAGTGATATTTGGTCTCCGGAATCACACTTTTCTGGTAGCTAAATCGACGAAGAGATCCATAAACAGGATATATATTACTTCAAGAGTATCTAGAATCGGTGAAAGGGTAAACTGGATTCTTATTATTATTTAAATGATGTTAAATAAAAGAAATGTTAAAAATGCAAAGAAAATGTTTGACTAAGTTGAAAAATACCAATGTTCATTAATTTGTCTAAGTTATTTTTCGGGATAACGTTATATTTACTTGTTAATATTCATGTATATTTTGATACATCGGGGTTGGATTTCCAATTTGAAGTGTACTAAGGCACAACATTTTCTTTTAATGTGGAATTAATAAAGGTCAACTCCTTTAAGTAAACAGTTAAAAATAAAATCTACATTAAAAATGTGTAAGGGGAATTTTCTGACAAATATAGGTGGTTTATAATTCATTTTTATCTCAACATGATTTTCCAATGATAAAATTTATCACAAATGAATAATAATGACGTTTTATTGATTTAAAATATCCTTACCAATATCGATATATAGATTAATAGTTATATGTGTAACTACATTTTCTTTTTTAAAATATATATTTGCAGAAATTTACACTCTTGTTTTTAAATGAACATGACTGTATATTTAAAACTTGTGCATAATTTGACAATGCGAAGCTCTTGATTGAAAAATAAGTTATAATAAACAAAAGATGCCCAAAAATAAAAATAAAAATCTTACCAACTATTTAAATCGGTTTTAAGAATCTCTGCTGAAACTCCAAAATAAGATCCAGTGGGTCCGCTATATATCTTAGGAAATTCTGTATCAATATTATAACCATAAACGATAGAAATTAACAAAAGCAAAATAACTTCATTAGATAAACAATGCATTGTTATCGTAACCCCTATCGGGATTGTTATAAAATAAATTCCTTTGAAAGAACATTGCCCGTTACGGAAATACCTTTCCAGTGTTTCATATTATATGTATAATTCTGTTTTCATCAAGTAGGTTTTATCCATTGAAAATTTCCTGAGGGAGTAAAGTGTTTTGAAGGTAAGTTGGTTTAAGTGCAAAATTCGGAAGTGTAACATTAAGATAATCTCTTCTAAGTTTGAGCATTATTTCTTTTCAGATGTTTTAGTGTTATTAGATTAACACGAAAATATTGCCTATATTTATGAAATAGATGTTTTTGATAACCACAGTAATAATTCTCAAAACTTACTTAAACATTTTTGTTCCTTTCTACATACTTATACTTTAAATGTATATGATATCATCTTATCCATATCTGTGTACATCCGTATACATAAAGTTTTTTTGAGCTCATCCAAGTCTAACTAGATGAATAAATATTAATGACTTTAATTTCTTTTTACAAAAACAAAACTCGGCACTAATTAAGGAAAGTTAACATTTATGTGAATGATAAAACCCCTTCATTTAATTAATGTTATATTTTGGTACCATTTTCTGTATTTCTGTATGCCTATTTTGATTAAAAAAAAAGAATAACGGCATTTATTCGAAAATTCTGACGATGTTTAAAGGAATGTATCAGGAAAATATACATTTATCTTAAATTTAAGCATATCTACATAGATATTACGGAGGGAATGAGTCCTAAGTTATGACACTCAGATACAATCAATCAAAGTAAGGCCAGTTAAAAAATTAAAATGTTTGCTTGCCCTCTCCCGACTCAGGATCAAAACGTTCGGTCGGTAAGTAGGTGAAAAATTATTATTCTAAAAACAATTTCAATATTAATTCTTAAAAAGATATTCTCAAGAATTCGTAAAGAATTAATCGCTTCCTGAAGAACGCACACTCTTTGGAAAAAGTTACGGGATACGTAACTATACTGTCTGGAAGCATAAAGCACATACACTGTACTTGTAATTTTTTAAATAATCGAATATTCTGCAATTATTTGTCAAGCTTGACTTATTTTCAGATACTTGATGTTCAAATAATCATCAATAGTTACAATAAAATCTAAGTTACTCCTGATACTCATGTAAATGCCTGTTTTGATAAAGCATGTGATTTGTCTAGCTAATACAGACAGCTTCAAGAAATTGTTGGTAAACAATTTAATTGTCTTTATTTAAAAAGCATAATGGTAGCCTATGAAACATGTCAACAATAAAATAAATGTACAAAAAAGATTGATAAATGTGCTCGAAATTGTTCCAACTCATTGCATGGAAATGTTTAAAAACAGCTGAAAGCATGCATGAATGTTTATTTCAACAATGCACATTGCTCATTTCATTTTATGCAAAGCTCATATTTTCTTATTTGCTTTAGAATGCAAATTTCGATATAAAGTGATTTAGCATTAAAAAAAAAATACATATCATGTTGTGAAATTTGCATCATCCATATCATCAAATTTTTTATTTAGTTTTTGTTCCTCCTCTGGCACTTTAGAACGAATTGACCCTGCACCGCTTCTTGCACTTCGTACAGATGCCATTCTACTCTTCCTCATGCTGTATTGGGTTCTGCGTTTATATTCTTCAACCTGTTTCCTTTTCTTTCTTTTGAAGAAACCACACTAAAACATTAAGAAACCACTCTAAAACATTAAGATAACGTAACAGTTAAATACAAGAATAATTAAACGATTTTGGTTTTTACTTCTACTTGCATACTGATCAGTTTCTTAAAAAAAAATATTTTTCAAACAAAATGATAGAAATTCAATCTACATAGTAATATAACTTGCTTTTTAAAATTTTCACTTAAAAGCTATCAATATCAAAACCAATTCTGTTAATATGTTTTTCACTAATTTTTTGTTTTGTTTTGTTTTGTTTTTTGGCTTTTTGTTCTTGACGATTAATAATGTTTGCTTCCTTATATTTTTTATCAACTTTTTCATCACTGCGTCTCAAAAATCATAGTGCATGAATTCTGATGTAATAATTACTACATATAAATTGTTTCGTTATTTTTTTTTGTTTTGACAAACCTTCCATAAGATCAGTCCCAGTAAAATGAAGAGTACAAGTCCTCCAACACAACCTCCGATAAGTATTGTCAGGTCCAGCTCTTCTACCTCCTGTGTGAAAGAATCAGGGAAAAGGATGGACACAGATACCTGTAAAAGATTACAATTTGATTAAAATTAGAACCGCTCCTGTTAGATGGCTATATACCTGGACCGGATAAAATCTCATTTTGATGAGATTGAAAAGAATAAGGCATGAAACATACATGCACGCATGAAAAAAACACCAGGAAAGTGAAAAATTTAGACTTGAACTTTGAGTACAGAGAATTTTAAAATGAAATATGTGTTAAAAGTTTTTAAAATTTAATTGCTTAGAAAAAAAACTTCCCTTATAGAACTCAAGAAACATATTGGGTTCATCAAAATGTAGAAAAAGGACAGAACAAGTTAAATTGTTTCAGGTACCTCTTGTGATATATTTTCCTTTAGAACCAGTGGTACGGTTGATTTGGCGCTAGGAAAAACATGTCCACTGGTAACAAAGGTGAAGAAAGATTTTCCCTAAAAAATCAAATGAATAAGCTTTGAATTAAAATTTCGTCAAAAAATCCAATTTATAAATATGACAATTCAAGAAGCATAAAATTAAAGTATACTTTTTAAAAAAGGCCCAAAACAACACAAAGATATATAGTCTTTATGTTCAATTATATTATCAAATTAATGTTTAAACAGGCAACAACAGTTTTTTTTTCTATAATTATGCAATCAATACAAAAGAAAGATTCTTATCAGAAAATTACTTTTTTTTGCAAATTTCAATCATCACAAAAAAGATAAGGCATGAAAGAGGTTAATTTTAACAACGACTATATGCTTGAAAATTCCAAAAAAAAAATTGACACAATGAGAGAAGGGTAACCTTTTGTAACACTGGTAGTTCATCCACAGGAATGTCAAACGGTATCATGATTGTCCTGTTATCCCTGTCTATAGGTTTGACCAGGCTAAGTGTGCACTCAACGACTGCACATATGTAAGGACCAACACTTTTATCACAAAACTAAAAAAAAAAAGAAATGGCTATTTAATTGATTTTTAAGTCAATACCGCACTTTTATTGATATACTTGTTTCAAATGTGGGGATTGGGGTTGGGTAGGGTGTGGTTTTTTTTATTTGATTTTGGATTGACTGCTCATAAAATATGAAGATTACAGTAAAATTTTCAAGAAACTGTTCAGGAAAATTTTACTAGTCTCTTTCGTGGAAATTTTGCAAAATAAAAGAAAATTAAGAAAATTCGTACAAAATATCAAAAAGGATTTTTACTGAAATGTTCATCAAAATGGAAAAGAAGTACAGTTAAGTATTAAAGAAGTACACGCAAAAAAGAGATAGGAAACAATTCTATACTTAGAATATCTTAGAGCTTACAATATATTCGGAGTTTTCAGAAATTTCCTGGACGGGATGAAAATGAACATCCGTGCCTGTCTGGCTGTCTAACGGTATGATATTTATTCCAGATATGTTGTAACTTATTGTGCTCCTTCCTGGGACAGGATTCTGTGTAGTCGTTCCTAGTTCTTTGCTGGGATAATACACCAGTTTACAAGAGTCTTTCATGTTTTTGCTTTGTACCTGATATGAATATTAAAATGTAAGAGAAATTATTCCTTTATGACACAAAAAAAACTTCACAAATTAAATTGATCCAATTACTGAAAAAGTAAATAGCCAATGAATTCATCTAATCTTCATAAGTTGTAAAATGGATAAAACGTTCCCAATCCCCTCCCAAAAATCTACCGGCTGTATAAACCGCATCTTCCATGTTAAACGTGTATTGCTGTGTATTAGTCGCCCAAGCTTACGAATAGGAAACCGATATACAATTTGTTATTTACTAGCTTATACACATTTCATCGCGCCCGCTTGGAGCAGTGGTTTGCTCTTGATGCCCCGAAGTAAAGAGTATATCCTTAGCAGGTTGGAATCCTACTCCGGTGCTTAAATATATGTTCTTAGGTTGGGATTGTATTAACGGATTCCTCTTTAGCAGTAGATGCTAGCTTGCACGAAAAGATCTCTTGTTGATCAAAGGTAGTAAATGCCGACTCAAGGTCTAAATTAAATGTGCATACCACAACTGGTAAGTAGTGGCATCCCAACATGAAAGAGAAGCATGAAGGATATTGAGATAACGAACAGTTTTCAAAATCAAAGTCCATAAAACAACACAAATTAGGAGCAGAGCAAACACGCACCTCTAAAACATCAGAGGTAGGATCAGGTGCCATGGAGGAGTGAGTCTCCCCATGAAAGAGAAACAATTCTCGAAGGGACTTTAAAGAAACAAAGAAAAATAACTATACCTTGACCTCATCCTTCTTGATAAAGATTTTGCTTTTTGTCCTGACAGGAATAAAAAATTGAAGATGCACCTTCTCTATAACACAGGGACCTTCGTTAAAGAGTCGATAAGTATTGGAGAATTGTATACCGCTCTGGGTAGCAGTAATTTGCTCATCGGAGGCAGACCTGCAATAAACATTGAAACATTACAAGAATTCTATGGATAGTTTATTATTCATTTAACAGTGGGAAATATTAATAAACAATTCTTATTCCCAAGAAAATTTCCTCTGAAGACAATGGTATCAATTTTCAAAGAGCATGCAATGAACAGTCAGTTCGTATAATGTAAACCAAAATCTGAAACAACTGATCTATGTTTGATATGGTTTTTTTGGAGGGAGAACAAATGAAAAGACCGCACTTTTTTGAAAGGATTTTTTTAAATACAATAAACATCATTATAATGGTCTTTATTTTATGAATCAGTTTGATTTACAATGCCTAGAGGTAATGATTTGAACCAGTCAGCGATTCAAATTTTAAAAAAATCTGCTTTTTCAGGCATGGCTATCGTTGTTTTTTTTTAATACACTGTACTTTGTAATTTTACACATCGTAATATAATTGAAAGGAATTTTTTCACTTGGCGTGTTTTGCATTATTTTTATATACAAAATTTGTGAATTCCCCTGACGTCTACCCACAAAATACAAACTTTATTATTACACTCAATATAGAATCTTTAAATTGCAATTCACAAAAGTTATATTCTACAACCATTAAAGCACGTTTATATACAAATCAAAAGACTTACACTTGCAAGGTTGTCCTAGTAAAGGCTGCCACATCGACATATTTAATTACCGTGTTATCATTCATGTTAATATCATTAGCGGTAATGGCCGTTACATTGTAAACGAGGCTTTGTGTTGATATGTAACCTACATCAATTTCCATTGCAGCCTTTGAAATTTCAAACACAATATCTATTTCTATGAGCATGCGCTGATACAGGGTGGTTTCACTTTCACATTCAATAGAACTGCCATTATCTCTTGCCAAACAAGACATATCCAAAGGAGGTTTAACATCAATCAGGCTTGATCTGACTGCCGAAGGATAATTTATCCTGAGTAAAGATTTCAGGGACGGTTCTCCTTGATTTTTAAGAACAACTTTCATTTGTAAAACAGAATCATTTCCAATTAAAACTATTCCTTTGTCGAGGCTAACATCTAATTTCAGGTCTGACAGACAGTCCCCGCCCAATCCCGTGCAGTCTGTGTCAAACCTTGCCTGAAATAAAGACACATTATTTGCATTAATTTTGATATCTAAGGGGTGCTAAGAAAGTTCGTTCCATGATGAAATATTTTCAAAAATTTCAAAGTAGTGCTTCACTAAATAGACAAATTTTCAAGTCTGATAAAATCACAAGAGTGTGCTTTAGAATTATAGCAATTCATTTCTAGCAGGTAGTTAAAAGATTCTTCTTCCATATGAAACTAGTGCTAATTGTAACGGGAACCGTTACAGATGTTCCCCAAACGCTCCCCAACTCCCTTTTGGTGCCATATTCCCTATAAGCTTCAATAAATAAGACAAACTCTATGCATTTGAGACTTTAACAACGTTTGCCCAGAACTGTACCAATTTCATTCAAATTTTAGTATTGCACGCGTGCGCATGTGAATGCACATGCGTAATGACCATATAATCTTGTCTTCACAATCTATAGAATTAATATACTAAATACCAAAGTATTTAATCCAAAAGTATTAAAAAATACGCTAATTCAATTGTATTTTGATTTTACTCATTTCAAGTGCACGCACGTGCTCACATGAGCATGGCGACCATACTTTCTTGTAGAAGTCCATTACATCTATCTATGTTCTAAATCCCACCCCGTTTGGTTGAAAACCAAGGGAGTTATAGCTGTTCAAAGTTTCAGCCAATCAGATTGCAGCGCACGTACATGCACGTGTATGCATGTGCATGGTGACCATATCTTCTTGTAGAAGTCCATTATATCTATCCATGTTCCAAATCCCATCCTGTTTGGTTGAAAACCAAAGGAGTTATAGCTATTTAAAGCATAAGCCAATCAGATTGCAGCGCACGTGCATGCACGCATTTTCATGATAATTGCTATATATCTTATTGATCCTAATACATGCCTATGTTCAAAATTTCAAAGGATTTCGTCAAAAAACAAGAAAGATATTGAGACTTTAGTTTCAGCCAATCAGAGCGAAGCGCACGTGCATGCGCGTGAGATCTTGCTATTTTGATCATGTGATATTGTCTATGCTACTAATATATCCTTATATTATGAGTTTTTAAGCATTTCATCAAAAATGTAAAAAGTTACGCCTATTTCAATTAAATCGGTCATTTCACGTGTTGCATGTGCACGCTCTTGCAAGCACGTGCGCGCAAAATGACCTTCGTTCCGCAAATCTACATAACATGTCTACTGACCCTAAAAACATTTCACGTAAATCGGATGTGTAGTTTACAAGATCATTCGCGGACAAAATTTTCCCGAGAAGAAAAACAATAATAACTAGATGCGTTCTTGTTGCTGGTGCAACAAGCAGGTCTTCCGACCGATTTTCGTTAGAATTCTATGCTGCGTCATTCCAGGAAATAGATTTCAGAATGTATTTTTTTTCGTTTACGTTCATTTACAGCAGCCTCTCAACATACCTCATGATTATTACAATATTCCTCAAAATATCTCAAAAATAGCTTTTAAAAATCGGCAAAATCTTCCATATTTGTTATAAAAGAGATGAAAGTCATTTGCAACTGAAAAAAGACATAAACAAAGAAAAAAATTTTGGAACGGCCACAGCGGGATTCGAACCCCCGACAGTAGGACAAAATTTGGTTCGGTCATATCTCTTCAGGACATGCACGCATCAAGATACTGAACACATATTTAGAATTCTCATAAGACACACTATAAACCCTGTAAATCTTAACGAAAAATATTGAAAAACAAAAAAGTTGAGAAATGGGACTTTTTGAATTCACTTCCGTTTGCGACCGGAAGTGCCGACGACGAAAAATAAAGGTCGTTACCCATAACGGAGTTCGATGTTCTATCACCTCAGTGAGTTTCACTTTCATATGTTTAGCCGTTCTCGAGAAAACTGCTGGACAAAATGCCTTTAAAAAAACACAAAAATCACCAAAAATCGCAAACGGAAGTAAATATTGAAAAAATGAAAAACACGTCTGGAGATATTTTTATGATGCATCTTCCCTGAGAAAATCTTTGAAATCTGTCCACGCATAACTGAGATATCGGCTGTACTATGAAAATAGAATAATAATAATAACTAGATGAAACTCGTTGCGAGCAACGAGAGGTCTTCCGTCCGATTCCGGAAAGAAAACGTAAAATCGAGTTGAAAAAGTAAAAAAAATTTGCACACAAGGGGGATTAAAGCCAGGTCGCCAGCATAAAATTCCAACGCACTGAATATTACGCTATTGGGACTTCTTCTCTATATCTACTTTTATATGTTTACGAAACAGTGCTTCTTTTCTTAAAATTATGAAAGGCGGGTCACTATTAAAATTTAGCGCCAGACGCCACGAGTTAATCTTCGCGCCTTTTCTTTGGAATGTTCTATTAAAAAGGTGTTATAGCTTCAATGAAATTAAAAAAAGAACGTTCTTATAGCCTAAGATTCGAGGTTTAGAAAATATATTTAAAACATTTTACAAATTCCATATTGTATATATACACTAAAGCGGTAAAACGGTTATGATTTTTTTAACTATTTTTCAATTTCCTGTTTATCCCTAAAGTGAACTATCCAAATAAGTTAATCGAAAATAGCTGAAACATTTCGCCGAAAAACATGGCACGCCCTACGACGGTCAAGGAATCAGACATCATTTATGCTCAATAACTTGAATCAGGTCTTTGAGACAAGAATTCTAAAATAAACTCCATGAAGCGATATTTAGAAAAAAAAATGGTTTCTTATTTTTGTCTTATTTATTTTAATATAACACAAATGTGCATAGGAAAAACAGTGGTTAAGATTTATACTTACAATATGAATTGATATTCTTTTTTGAGAAAGTATTACTTATAAGTATTCATTTGCACATTTAGCCTTTTCTTTTTCTACTTTGAGAACCAGCCAAAACCATTATAGAAGACGTTAGTTTGACACAGAATTGCAACGTAAATACGACGTGACAATCCAAGTATTCCTTTACATTTCATTTATCCTTATGTTACTTTCGTTCAAGCAAACGCTCAGCTGCCTCCGTAAAACCCTATTGCGAAATGTCGGCGTTGACAGAGACAGCCGCCATTTTGGACCCGCTTCAGATGTTTGAATGCTAATATCTAGAGTATAGATTTATCAATATTCAAACAAATTATATAGTAAGCATAATAAGAAAGGTTTCTATTAATATACAAAAAATAAATAAAAAATATTGAAAAACAAAAAAGTTAGAAAAAATGCGATTTTTTTAATTTCATCTCTTAACGACCGGAAGTACTGACGACGAACGAAAAGGCGATTCTGCAAACCACAAACTCATGCTCTATCATCTCCAATAAGTCTCCAGTTCATATTCTCAGCCAATTTCGATAAAAGTGCGCGACAAAATCGCATTTTAAAATCAGGAAATCGTCCATAACTTGGCACCGGAAGCAAATTTTCCAAATATAATTACAGACTGCACAACTTCATGTAAAGACGCATATTTTGTGAAAGTTTCGTTAAAAAGCGCTGAATAGTTTTCGAGAAATCCCGTCCACAAAATTTTGTCAAAAAAAGAATAATAATAACTAGATACGATCTCGTTGCGAGCAACGAGAGGTCTTCCGTCCGTTTTAGGAAAAGAAACCCACGTAAAATCGAGCTGAAAAGAGATTCAAAATTTTGATCACAAGGAGGATTTAAACCATGTCGCCAACGTGAATGCCCTTTTTTTTTTACTTTTATATCCCCAACGCGCTAACCATTAAGCTATTCGGAGTTGCTCTAAATATACTTGTGTATACCACGGTACTTTTGCAACAGTCTGTCTAAGAATTATAAAAAGCATTCATAATTTCGCGCCAAACGCCACGAGTAAATATTCGCGCCTTTTCTTTGGACTGATCTATTAGATAGGTATGATAGCATCAATTAAATTTTAAAAATAAAACATTCTTAGCGCCTTTATTTTATTTCGACGTTAAGAAAGTATATGTAACACATTATACACAATACATATCGTATCTAGCCCAGTTACACTGAAGCAGTGAAAAGGAAATTAAGTTTTAAGATTGACTCAATTGCAACGTACTAATGTAACGTGTCGGATCTGAGCGGTCAGTAGGTCCGTGCTCGGATTACCGAGTTTTACTGGGGATATGATTGAATGCAATATATACACATAATAATATGACACCTGCCTGGTGTCTTTAAATCAAATGACCTAAGTGCTTTGTATAATTATTTATATATCTTCAGTTAATACCGGCACCTGCCTGGTGCCATCTGATAATTGCCTCACTATACTCGTATAACTCTAGCCAAGTGGCTACAATATATTTACAAAGTATGATTTAACTTTGTAAGAGCTTCTCTGTCCTAATGACAAACCTATAGCTAACGCCACACACCTGTGTTTTAACTATAGTCACTAACTACAGCAACTTTGCACAATCCGATTTGATTGTTACACCAAATGGATTCTGTACCATAGTGAAAACACAAGCCAGTTGGTTGTACTGCCCCCTTGTACCTCAACTTAATCAATGATCATAAGTTATCAGATATCATATTGATAAAATACAAAAGACTGCCTTTCTTTTGGCAACACTATTATTATTTTCTAACAGAACATCATTTATCAATGATACTTGTATAATTCTTTTGTCAATTGACCAATTAATTACAATATTTTTATTGATTAGCTATTGTAATATAAACAAGTAACGGGACGTAACTCCTCCAACAATTTCACTACTACGTGAGAGTCGAAGTAGTTTTCATAACTTGGCACCAGAAGCGAATTTTCCAAATTACAATCAATCAATCAAATCTATGACCATATTTTGTGAAAATTTATGAAAAACCATTTTATTTATGCAGATTCTTTACAATATCCATTAGAAATAAAAATATGCAAAAAATATAGAAACAATACAATCGTTCTTGTTCCGTGAAGAATCGGAAGACCTTAATAAGCAAGTCTTCCGAGCCGAGAGGTCTTCTCTTTTGCAATCTATACTCTGTCATCGAGCTGAAATAGATTTCATAATGTATTTTTGGTTACTATGTTGATTTACAGTAGCGTGAAA